ATTTAAAACAAAAGCAAACAAAAGAACTCTAATAAAGTATATTTACACATTCAGGGAGTGGATGGAAGCATAAACTTATTTTTACACCCACCCCTATGACATCAATAACATCACCAATAAATCATCAATAAATTACTATTCATGTTAACTTGGTTATAACCATGGCTGAAAGTAGTTTTAAATTCTTGCCTGTACAATGACGAAAATATTCAGTGGCTCATTGTGCAAACCAAACCAAATAAAAACATTAATATTTTACTGTACTATAATATTCTTTCTTAGTATTTTCTACATCTACATCTATGACAACAATACTTTTAACATGTTCAAATTCTTTCTACATCAACATGGTATAATGCAGTAATGATAGACAACTTCATTAAATAGTAACAATAACATTGATAAAAGCAGTAATGACAGTAATTATTTTTCATACTGACCATCTTAAAAACTTTTAAATTCAAATGATGAAGTCCTTCCTTTTGTTAAGCAAAGCTTTTTTTTAGTTTTTGGCATTAAACAAAATCATTTTCTGAGTGTTTGTATTTACATGGTGCAATATAATTTGGTAAATTAAGCAGACATTTTAAAATTTTTCTATCACATCAAACACGGTGATGTGAGTCCAGTCACATCAGTGGCGTTACAAAACTGATCCTACAATTTGTTTTTAGTGCAAAAGAATCAATGAAAACAGATCTTACAGTCAGTCCCAGTTTCGACACGCCATATGGCATTTCGGGCCAGCCGTCTTGCTTGTGCTCTCCTTTCTTGGCCTTGTCGACGAATCGCTGCATCAGGCCCACCAGCTCGTCCTCTGTGATGTCGTCGCTACGGAAACGCTGCTGGAGCTCCAGGCTGCACTTGTTTAGAGTATGGGGACCAACAAAGCTCGATACGTTCACCACACGACCTATAAGCGAATGCAGAGATGACTTATAGGTCCGTGTATTTTCAGGCAGTTTTGTTTTTTTCGTTTTAAATGAAAAATGAGAAAACGAAAATAGACTCGTTTTTTCGTTTATAAAATCAAAATCGGAAATTGGATTTTTTTCCCATTTAGTGCCCAAAACGAAAATGGAAAAATGGATAACGAGCTGTCAATTTCGATTTTCATTATTTCATTTTTGACAAGTAGTCTGACCCGGAAGTCCTCTCTGTCCGGTACAGTTTGTTTTTGTAAACTCTTCCAAATCGGCATGTAATTAATTTGATCATGACACCTTCACACAGGAAGCCTTATGGTCCAACTTTGTTTTGTATATGAAGCTAATGGCTTCTAAATGCAGCTTCCGACTCAGTAAATGGCGAAAGGGCTAGTCCGCCCAATTTTTTTTACCAACCTTCATTCTGCTGTGGTTTAAAAAGACGCTCAAAGCGCGACTAGAACATTCTGCCCAACGTCGTCATTCAAATCCTATTGCTTTTTAAGTTTTTCCTTTTTGAATAGCATTAGCAATTATAATCCGGTATGTTATGAACAAGTATGGACAAAATGTTATCCAAAATATAAAAATGTATCTATTTCTACCAGGTAGGAAATGTTTGAAATAATGTGCCAATTAGATAATTAAAAGCTTAACTAAATAAATATTTTCCTACGGAAGAGGATTTGGGAAAGAAAACAGGTAATCATTCTGGCTTTAACCTAAAAAAAAACATCTTGCACATCAGTTGGTGTTAGAAAAATGTTATAGGCCCCTTATCCTCTTCTGTTGTTTAACACCACACAATATTTTTTTCACATTTTTATAAGTATGACTGTCCAATTAGAAATGAAAACCTTTGTCCCCTTCATGAGACTATTTACTTATAACGTATTGGTCTCAACTGACTAAACATAATGAACAACTTGTGAGTTGATTCTTTCCATTATTTCTTACCACTGGATTTATAAGCAAGAAACATTAAAACAATTATTTCATATTTAATTTGTATCAATCTATATGTAGTCAGAGCTTTAAACTCAAATCTTACAAAATAAACAGAGACAAAATGTTTTCATAAAAATGTATTTATTACAATAACATACAAGCAGATAATCAGCCAATGTTTGGGGAATCATGAAAAAATATTCCTATAATTTATGTTTAAAAAAGATGAGGAGACAATTAAGAAGACGATGTCAGGAGGAGGAAGATGATCACTGGGAGATTCTGGGAAGCTGCATCCAAACCTGGAGCTGAGGCCTCTCCTCCTAAGAGCTGCCTGTATGAAACAACAAAAAAATAAATATTAAAAAAGTTCACACTACACGTAAGAAGCCAAATCACAGGGAAGAATACATTTCACACACACACAAATAATATGAATTTACAAACTACAAAAGAATCAGAGGAAGGGAATATTAACAACTGGTATTGGAAGAGAACACTGTGTCAAGGTTTAGCAGATAACATCTTCAGAAGTATCAAATTCTCCAGAGAGGAATATTATATTTTGACACACGTATCAAACAGTATATATGCAAACACATTAAACATTTCATGTCACACTTTGAAACGCTAAGATCAGATATCAAGCAGCAGAATACGACAAGGTGACTTGTCGAGATCAGGCCGCGGTTAGCGGGGTAAACAGACTCCACCCGCCCGCTGAGCCTGGTGCCGCCGGGACCCGTTAGCGAAGCTGCGCTGCTCCGAAAACTCTGGAGTACATTTCAAAGAAACTGCATGAACTACATGCGTAAATGAAGCTATGAGGGCTACTTTCTAGCCTCAAAACACCTTAAATCAACTTTTTGTGACAAACTTACCTCCATTTATCGCTGCTGGTGGCGCAGTGCAATGGTAGCCATCTTGCTGATCCAGAAAAGAGACGGGTATGGCTGCAGGATGGTTTGGAAAGCCACTACCCCGTGCTCTGACTTTTCAAAATAAAAAACTAAACTAAAAACTCAGGCCAACCATTTTTCTCGGTGACCAGATGTCCGGTATTATTTGTTTCTCATAGGAGCATTACTTAAACTGACTTGCGGCTGGCAGAAAATATATAGCCAGTATATAGCCTGAAACCTGAAAGGAACAAGCTTGTCTCCCTTCAGCCTGCATAATGTGTGTGATACGGTCCCTGTGTAAGCCGGACAGAGAGAACTTATGGGACAGACCGCTTGTCAAAAATGAAATAATGAAAATCGAAATTGAACACTCGTTTTTTTCCATTTTCGTTTTGTGCACTAAATGGGAAATCGGATAACGAGCAAAAATCCGATTTTCGATTTGGTTTTCTAAATGGAAAACGAAAAACGAGTCTATTTCCGTTTTCTCAATTTTCATTAATTAATGCAGTATATTTATACTACCTATAAATATATCTGAAGTACTAAAAGTATGCTTGTACCAATTTCGAAATTATAACTTTAAACGCACTTAAACATAATTGTACCAAAATACACTTTTAATAAATATATTAAATAAAAGTATACTTTAAGTGAACAAAATGTATATTTGCCCAAGTCTAAATATACACTTGCTCAAGTATATTTAAAATATATTTTGTGTATATTTTAAAATATATGCTCAAAATAGAATTTTTTTTAAATTCACTTAACACTACTTGAAATTATTAATTTCAGTATGTTTTAAATTACATCTCAGTGTAAATTTTAGGCTAATAAAGTATGCCTTTTTTAACTTCTTTATTTAACCGGGTGAACCCCGTTGAGATCCAGATCTCATTTTCAAGAGGGACCTGGGCAGAAGTCTGCAACACGCAGCAACCTGATTCCAAAATAAAACTAATTAATACATATGCAGAAGTATGTCTTATAGACACCTTTAAAGTGTGTTTAATGTAATATGTAGGCATACTTTTTAAGTACCAAAAAAGTATGAATTTTGAAGTGCCTTAATAATAGTTTACTATTTACTAAAATTGCATACAATTAAAAAAATGATAATCATGATGTAATTTCTAAGAAAGTACCCAATCCATTTTCAGATGTTTGATGTAAAACCTTATAATCAAAGGCATTAGCTCCAGTTCACACTCCAGACCAGATGGTGGCGGTATTGCACAATTTCATTTAAAACAAACAAAAAAATGCCATAAAGAAAAGAAAAAAACTGGAACGCAGGGAAGATAACAGACGCTGTCCAAATTCGCCATTTTTACTCGCATAATATTGCCTTAAAAGTAGAGAGGGCCTTGACAATAGTTACTAATTTTGGTAAATTCAAGCTGGTGACGTCCTAGTCCGAGTTAGACGACAACACAACTGGACAACAACCGATGGAAATGAAATGAGTGTCACAAAAGGAGGCCGGAGGGACGAAGGCTGCTAACGTGGTGCTAGCTAGTGGTAAGTTTGCTTACCACTAGCTAGCACAGGTTGGGCATAGGTTGTGCTTTGCAGGGACAAAGCACAACCTATGTTTTGAGGCCTTAGTCCTTATGCCTGTGGTCGCAGGTTCGATTCCCGACCTGGCGACATTTGCCGCATGTCTTCCCCCTCTCTCATAACCCTTTTTCCTGTCAAACTACTTTCTAATAAAGGCCACTAGAGCCAACAAAACCTTTAAAAGAAAAATAATTATTTTATCAATTTTATTGTGACTTGTATGATTATTACTATAGCAATTATTCAGCTTCATGTTATAAATGCATGGAGGCTGTTTGTTGCCACTTATACTTTTATTCATAAACTTAACCTGGTTTTAATTAAGCTCCATATGACAAAGAGACTTTGATATTGTGAGGTTGTTGTTATAACTTGTTCATCAATGTTTTTATCTTCAACATATGTTTGCAGTCTAAGCAAATGAAGATGAAAGAGGAAGCCAGAGAAATCAGGTGTTAGGAAGCCTAAAGACTTTCCTGTCTCAGAAGAAGCTCTGGCTCCACCAGCTCTGAGGATGAACCTCCACATTGTCTTCATAATGTACATTTTTTAATGAGGAGCTGGTTACATTTTCAACTCAAAAACTGGTGTGTTACCAACACCAAATGCTTAATAAACATGATTTGATTTAAAGATAGCTGGACAGAATTTGTTGTTGGCTTTCAGGGCCCTGTAATGGACTGGTGACCTGTCCAGGGTGAACCCTGCCTCTCATCTGATGACTGCTAGAGATGGGCACCACCAGCCCCCCTCACCACCCTGCAAGGATCATTGTGTTCAGATCATGGATGGAAAACTTTTAAGGTAGTTTGTCTCCTTAAGTCCACACTTAAAACAGCTTCATAGTTAATGCCAACATCAACTGATTCTATGACATTGCTAACAATTGTTTTCTACTTCTAACATAAACAGGCAAAGAAGACACACAAAAATGTTTTTCCACCCCAGGCATCCGGTCCCAATCATCATCAGTTCTCATGATGTCACATACACAGCGAGTCCACAACGTCTTGAAATTGTATTTTTTTTGCCATTTTTTGTTCTCTTTAAATACAAATGCTTTCTCTGTTTAAATG